GAGGCACATGCCAAAACTATTGTACTTATTTTTTGTGGTAGGGGAAACCGGAGTACCCGGAGGAAACCTACGCAGACACGGGGAGAACATGCAAACTCCACTCAGAAAGGCCCTGGTCCGGCCGGGATTCGAACCCAGGACCTACTTGCTGAGAGGCGAGAGTGCTATCCACTCAGCCACCGTGCCGCCACGCACACACACACACACACATATGTATGTGTGTATGTATATGCGTGTGTGTGTGTGTGTGCGTGTGTGTGTATGTACGTGTGCACTTGTTTTCAACTCCTCTCCACTCACGTCATGGGGACTGGTTTTACGTGGTGGGGCCCGAACACCGGACCCCACTGGTCCAAGCTTAATAATCAATGGGTAATGCTTTTCTAACGGTCCTTATGCAGTCTCTGTAAAAATATGGAAAGGACCCCTGGAGGTTTACTTTCCTGAAAAAAGTGTGTTATGTGTCGGAACCCTGGTGGTGGGTTGCGGGATATCAAGGAGGGGCACACTGGGGCAATTTCAGTCCAGCAGGCTGGAGCCAATCATGGAGCAGCACAACAGAGGAAATCAGGTGAAAAGGTGCAAGTGTGTGGTTCATTAGGCTGCAAGAAATCACACTGAAGCGCACGCTTACAAACCACTGGTAAGTGCTGACTACAAGTCATGACTTCAAATTGTTATATAGAATGATTACAAATTATTTGTTGTTTGTGCAGCTTAGTCAAGAGTCCCTAATTGATGAAGTCGACTCAGATTCTGACGATTTAACTGTCAAGAAGAAACCTGTAAAAAAGTATGGAAAAAGAAAAATCAAAAAACACTTTTCTTCAAGACTCGGAAAGTGACGAACCAAAGGCAAATAAGATTGGTTATCATGCAGCTGCAAAAGAAGAAAAATGGGGGGCGAGTTTATAGCAAGAGACACTTCTGCCTCTACTGTTCAATGTCCTGCCACAAAATGTCCCGTCATTTGACTAGAAAACATGGAAATGAAAGTGACGTAGCCAGAGCATTGGCTCTACCTGTGAAGTCTAAAGCACGTAAACTTCAGTTTGATTTGATCAGGAATAGTGGAAACCGTGAGCACAATTTTGAGGTTTTAAAGGCCGGCATTGGAACTTTAGTCCCAGCTAAACAGCCAAATTCCCCAGTTAAATCCAGTGAGTTTTTGCACTGTATAGACTGTGGGGCATTGCTTAAGCGAAAGTCGCTGTGGAGGCATGTGGCCAGGTGCCGGCTTTCACAGAAAGATGCCCAGGCTAAACCAGGTAGAAGTAGGGTCCAGTCCCTCTGCTCCCTAGCCCAGCCTGTACCGGAGGGCATCAGCAAAAAGCTGTGCTCTTTAATTTCGGCAATGCATCAGGATGAGGTCACGGGTGTTGTCAAAGCAGAAAAGGGGATTCTGAGACTCGGAGAGCACCTGTACTTAAAACACGGGCATGATAAGACTAAGCATGATTACATTAGGCAGAAAATGAGAGAAGTCGGTAGGTTAATTAACGAAGCAAAAACCGCAGGGAAACTGAAAACAATTAAGGATTTCTTTATTCCTTCCAACTTTAACCATGTGATTGATGCAGTCAGGTCTGTGGCTGGATATGATGAGGAAACAAATCAATACAAGACTCCATCCTTGGCCCTCAAACTCGGCCATAGCCTCAGAAAGCTAGCAGATATTCTTGAATGTGACTCAAAAATGGAGCATTGTGTTGATGAACTATTTATTAAAAACCTCCAACGAAGCCGGCTGCTTTTTGAGAAGAGGTGGGACGTCTGTGTTTCTTCTGCTGCCCTACAGACCCTCCGGCAAGCCAAGTGGAACACTCCGGACCTGCTCCCTCTGACTGAGGACGTTAGAGCCATGCATGCACATATTGAGGTATGTCGACCTGAATATGTGCAAACCCTAATAAGTGAGCCAACGTCTAAGCATTGGTCTAAACTGGCAGTTTTGACTCTTTGTGAGGTCATTTTCAATCGAAGAAGGGAAGGTGAGGTTTCAAAGATGCCACTGACAGCCTTTACCTTAAGAAGTAAGACTGGGATCCATTCTGACATTGCTCTGGGACTGTCCCAACTTGAGAAAAAGCTGTGTCAGCATTTTCAACGCATTGAAATTAAAGGGAAAAGAAGTCGGAAAGTGCCGGTTCTTTTGACTCCTGAAATGATTGCTTCGATGGAGGTGCTGGTGGAGAACAGAAGGGCCTGTTCCATCTCTGACCATAACCCATACTTCTTTTCCCGCCCGGGCGCAGACACCCACATCAGGGGATCAGACTCCCTACGCCAGGTAGCCAAAGAATGTGGTGCGGTGCATCCAGAGATGCTATCCTCAACCAAACTTAGAAAGCACATAGCTACTATGTCTACAGTTCTCAATATGAAAGAGAATGAAATGGACATACTTGCCAACTTCCTCGGCCATGACATTCGCATCCACAGGCAATATTACAGACTACCAGAGGGGACACTGGAGCTGGCCAAAATCAGCAAAGTGTTGATGGCCATGGAGCAGGGAAGAGTGACGGAATTCGAAGGAAAGAGCCTCGACCAGATACAAATTGAGCCTGAAGGTAATTCTTGATATTATTAAAATATGTATGATTTTTTTCCCCTAAAGGCCACTTGTATTTTTATTTTCTGTGCGACAGGGAGAGCAGTAGAGATCCTCTCACAAACGGACGGGCTAAAAGAAACTTCAAGCGGAGAACCTTCAACCATTCATCCAGATGCACCCCATGGTAGTGGCAGTGCCCCTTCTGGTAAGTGTACCAGGTGGGGGATTACAGCCAGGCTGCTTGGTCCTAACCCTGGGAGTGTATATTGCTAATATATTTTTATTTCTCTCCCTAGAACGTGTAAGAAAGCCATGGTCTGCATCTGAGGTGAAGGCTGTGGAGAAGACCATGACACCTTTCATACAGACTGGAAAAGTCCCTGGGAAGTCTCACTGCCTGGCCTGCATTAATGCCTCACCAGATGACCTTAGACATCGGACATGGAGTGGCATTAAATTCTATGTCAAAAATAGAATCACTGCAATTCGAAAACAAAATCTAAAATAAAATTCCTTTAAAATAGTTGTTTGGTTTCTATTGACTGTTTTGTATTACTTAAAGTCTTGGTAAAAAAAGATTATGTCTATGGGTCCCATTCTGAACGGCCCTGTCAAAGGGACCCACCAGGTAACAAAAACGTGTATGTGTGTGTGGGTGTGTGTATGAGTATGTGTGTGCGTCTATGTGTGTGTATATGTGTGTGTGCGCGCGTACGTGTGTGTGTGTACGTACGTGTGTATGTCTGTGTGTGTGTGTGTTAATGCAGATGTATGTAGTATAGTACAGTGGGTGGTAGTGATGCAGGGAAAGCAGGTTGTGTGTTCCTGTAATGACAGAACGAGGTTGTGTTTGAAGGCTGGATCTACAGACTATATGTAAAATGTAAAATATGTAAAATATTTATGAGTAGATTTATGTGAGGAGGTACTTAGCCTGACATTTAGGCGCAGTACAATACATACTGTTCCGTGTTCCTCCTGGGCTCAGTCAGTTCTAAACTCTGTTCTAAACTCTGTTCTAAACTCTGTTCTAAACTCTGTTCTAAACTCTGTTCTAAACTCTGTTCTAATGGATCTTTCAGGTCTGTGTCTTTCAAACGTTAACTCAACTCAATATATTCTTGTATCGCCCTGAATCACAACAGTTTTGGGCCAAGAGCCGACTTTTGGACCACCCTGTAAGGACTTTTTCCAGAGATCTGCCAATGCTATATGTTAGCATTGGCTAATTCTTATTCCGGGTCCACCCCCACAGGCCCGGGGTGGTACTGCAGCATGTGGGACGCGCCCACACTGGGGAGGGGCTGCCCGTGGCCATTTTGAAAAAGCCACAGAAGGCAAAAGTGATGTCACATTAGTTTCAAAAGCAAAGATAGCGTCACTACGTCTGTTAATATTTACAGCCAATGAGAATATTACAACCTTTAGTCTGCCCCCGGTGCTTACAGGCCACCAGTGGTACTGCAGGGAACATCCCCATAGTCCAGGGGTGCCTAAATCTTTTGCTTTTGCTTCCCAAAGGGCCAAAGTAAAAATTTGCCAGTGGGGCGTGGGCCAAAAACACCGATATATAAATTTGATTCAAGTTCCTTTCATTACTGTTGAATATTTAAATGCATTAATCATTGTCTATCAGTGTAAATCACAGCTGAATGAATGAAAACGACTCATTCTCAGTGAAGTGGAAGCTCCAGAGAAATATGCAGGTTTGAGGAGACTACGGTACAGTCAGAGAACCAGGGTCAAGAGGAGGGAGATTTCTGTTGTGGCTTATTTACAGGATATAATCAAATATATATAATCAAATAACAGCTATAAATGGGGTTTATAACTCAATATTAGAAAAATACAGCACAGCTCCTAAAAAGTTACAGACATGCCCTTTACTTTTGACACAAGACGCAGCAGCAGATTGTCAGATGTACAATAGACGTAACTAATAATAAACTAACAATAGAATGAACTTTGAACTATAAATTAGCAGCAAAACCAAACATTTGACATTAGAAAACTACTTGAAGTAGGTACGTCACAAAAGATAAACTGAGACTCAATAAAACACAGTAAAGTCTGTAAAGTATAAACACAGACATGTGGCTGAAGCTGCACATATCAACTAATCACACATGGTACTTCCTGGTCATGAACACACACTGACACAGGGACCGTGAACGTGGAGGCTCAGGCTGCGTGTTGCTCTGGCAACAGCTCCGTGCTCAAAAGTGAAGGTACTTCGACTTCAACACTAGGGGCGCACTTCTCTGCTTGGCTTTCCTATACTTTCCTACAAGGGCAAAGGCTCATGGGAGATTCTCTCAAATTGATAAAACATAAAATTGCTCAAAAAAATAAACAATAGTAGGCTGACAAAAAACAACTAAAGATGCATTGCACCCAATTGTTTTGATAAGTGTGTTTGATTTAAAACATTTTTAGTGCTAATCTGGATAAATCAGTAAAGCACTGGACCTCTCAGATTGTGAGTACTCACCTACCCCCAAACAACTCTCAGTGATAGAGATAAAAGAACAGTGTCTACGGACTACAGACAGATATGTGTAACTCAGGTTGGCGACGCTTGGCGGGCCTCACTTTGGGCACCCCTGCATTAGACGTTGTCGTTCTTTGAGATTGTGAATTTTTTGAAATCTAAAGGTTTTCTATAAATGAATGTTTCTGTTCATAAAAGTCGTTCAACACAGCTATTCAATTCCAACAGATGTGTCCATGGAAATGTAACCGTTTTTTAATAATTTCAATGCATCTTTTCTTGTTAAATTCTTATTAAATATAGAAAATAGTGTCTGCTGCAGTGGCACAAAGCATCATGGGAGAGGCAGGAGGAGCATGGATGTGAACGGGCAGACGTCTTGGATCCCTGAGGTTTTGTTTCTGCCAGATTTTTTTTTAAGGATTCTCGGTTTTCTCTGAAGTGTTGTTGCCGTTTTTATTTTGCATCTATCTTGGTGATGTTCCGTGTTTCACATCCAGAATGAAGCTCCAACAACAGCGGATTCAGATTCAGAAAAACGTTATCGATCCTGGAGGAGAATTGATTTGGAGCCATTCTCACAAACACAGAGAGTCAGTCGTTCCGTTCACAGTTGGTTTAGCAGCAGGTTACGATGAGAAAAGATTTAGAATAAAACACAAAACCTCGACAAAAACATCAAAATCTGTTTCTTTTCGCCGCAGAGACTTTAAAATGACACTAGTCCAAGATCAGAGGAAGTTTAATCAACATTTATGGACATTGGTCTCGCCTGGTCTTACTGCGCCATGGTACTCATTTCATATTGTACTGATGCCTGCATGAGAAAGCCAGATCCTGTCAGACTTCTGAAGCTAAGCAGGGCAGTGCCTGGTTAGTACTGTGATGGGAGACCTCTAGGAACACCAGGTGCCACAGTGAGGTGACCTTTATACATAACAATAAAACAGAATAATAAAACACATTTACAGTCTGAAAACGCCGTCTCTCTCTCTGTGTGACTCCGCCCCCTTTGTTCCCACGCCGTTCTCGGTCATTCCATTTCATTTCAGAGACGACTGGTTTTTGAAGGACGGCGTTATATTCATTGGTTAAACTCTCACGCGGCCTCAGAATGTGTAAGCAGCTTTCTGAAAGTGCAGAGAAACCCTCGGGACCTGGACCGCCCCACTCAGAGTCTCACAACGGCTCGGCCCATAATCCCAGCGCACGGCGGCTTCAGGGACCGAGCTTTAATTGGACACACACTGAGCTAGCTCCACGCAACGGAGGTTAAAATGAGGACTCCACGGTTTACATGGGACCACAGCCGCTTCAGACCACAGCTGCCTCAGACCACAGCCGCTTTAGACCACAGCCGCTTCAGACCACAGCTGCCTCAGACCACAGCCGCTTTAGACCACAGTTGCTTCAGACCACAGCCGCTTCAGACCACAGCTGCTTCAGACCACAGCCGCTTTAGACCACAGCTGCCTCAGACCTCAGCCGCTTCAGACCACAGCCGCTTTAGACCTCAGCCGCTTCAGACCACAGCTGCTTCAGACCACAGCTGCTTCAGACCACAGCTGCTTCAGACCACAGCTGCTTCAGACCACAGCCGCTTCAGACCACAGCTGCTTCAGACCACAGCTGCTTCAGACCACAGCTGCCTCAGACCACAGCCGCTTTAGACCACAGTTGCTTCAGACCACAGCCGCTTCAGACCACAGCCGCTTCAGACCACAGCCGCTTCAGACCACAGCCGCTTTAGACCACAGTTGCTTCAGACCACAGCCGCTTCAGACCACAGCCGCTTCAGACCACAGTTGCTTCAGACCACAGCCGCTTCAGACCACAGCTGCTTCAGACCACAGCTGCCTCAGACCACAGCCGCTTTAGACCACAGTTGCTTCAGACCACAGCCGCTTCAGACCACAGCTGCTTCAGACCACAGCCGCTTTAGACCACAGCTGCCTCAGACCACAGCCGCTTTAGACCACAGCCGCTTCAGACCACAGCTGCCTCAGACCACAGCCGCTTTAGACCACAGTTGCTTCAGACCACAGCCGCTTCAGACCACAGCTGCTTCAGACCACAGCCGCTTTAGACCACAGCTGCCTCAGACCTCAGCCGCTTCAGACCACAGCCGCTTTAGACCTCAGCCGCTTCAGACCACAGCTGCCTCAGACCACAGCCGCTTTAGACCACAGTTGCTTCAGACCACAGCCGCTTCAGACCACAGCCGCTTCAGACCACAGCTGCCTCAGACCACAGCCGCTTTAGACCACAGTTGCTTCAGACCACAGCCGCTTCAGACCACAGCTGCTTCAGACCACAGCCGCTTTAGACCACAGCTGCCTCAGACCTCAGCCGCTTCAGACCACAGCCGCTTTAGACCTCAGCTGCTTCAGACCACAGCTGCTTCAGACCACAGCCGCTTCAGACCACAGCTGCTTCAGACCACAGCTGCTTCAGACCACAGCTGCCTCAGACCACAGCTGCTTTAGACCACAGTTGCTTCAGACCACAGCCGCTTCAGACCACAGCCGCTTCAGACCACAGCCGCTTCAGACCACAGCCGCTTTTGACCACAGTTGCTTCAGACCACAGCCGCTTCAGACCACAGCCGCTTTAGACCACAGTTGCTTCAGACCACAGCTGCCTCAGACCACAGCTGCTTCAGACCACAGCTGCTTCAGACCACAGCTGCCTCAGACCACAGCCGCTTTAGACCACAGTTGCTTCAGACCACAGCCGCTTTAGACCACAGCTGCTTCAGACCACAGCCGCTTCATACCACAGCTGCTTCAGACCACAGCAGCTTCAGACCACAGCTGCCTCAGACCACAGCCGCTTTAGACCACAGTTGCTTCAGACCACAGCCGCTTCAGACCACAGCTGCCTCAGACCACAGCCGCTTTAGACCACAGTTGCTTCAGACCACAGCCGCTTCAGACCACAGCCGCTTCAGACCACAGCTGCCTCAGACCACAGCCGCTTTAGACCACAGTTGCTTCAGACCACAGCCGCTTCAGACCACAGCCGCTTCAGACCACAGCCGCTTCAGACCACAGCCGCTTCAGACCACAGCCGCTTTTGACCACAGTTGCTTCAGACCACAGCCGCTTCAGACCACAGCCGCTTTAGACCAAAGTTGCTTCAGACCACAGCCGCTTCAGACCACAGTTGCTTCAGACCACAGTTGCTTCAGACCACAGCCGCTTCAGACCACAGCTGCTTCAGACCACAGCTGCCTCAGACCACAGCCGCTTTAGACCACAGTTGCTTCAGACCACAGCCGCTTCAGACCACAGCTGCTTCAGACCACAGCCGCTTTAGACCACAGCTGCCTCAGACCACAGCCGCTTTAGACCACAGTTGCTTCAGACCACAGCCGCTTCAGACCACAGCCGCTTTAGACCTCAGCCGCTTCAGACCACAGCTGCTTTAGACCTCAGCCGCTTCAGACCACAGCCGCTTCAGACCACAGCTGCCTCAGACCACAGCCGCTTAAGACCACAGTTTGCTTCAGACCACAGCCGCTTCAGACCACAGCTGCTTCAGACCACAGCCGCTTTAGACCACAGCTGTCTCAGACCTCAGCCGCTTCAGACCACAGCCGCTTTAGACCACAGCTGCCTCAGACCACAGTTGCTTCAGACCACAGCCGCTTCAGACCACAGCTGCTTCAGACCACAGCCGCTTTAGACCACAGCTGCCTCAGACCTCAGCCGCTTCAGACCACAGCTGCTTCAGACCACAGCTGCTTCAGACCACAGCCGCTTCAGACCACAGCTGCTTCAGACCACAGCTGCTTCAGACCACAGCTGCCTCAGACCACAGCTGCTTCAGACCAAAGCCGCTTTAGACCACAGCTGCTTCAGACCACAGCCGCTTTAGACCACAGTTGCTTCAGACCACAGCCGCTTCAGACCACAGCCGCTTTAGACCACAGCCGCTTCAGACCACAGCTGCTTCAGACCACAGCTGCTTCAGACCACAGCTGCTTCAGACCACAGCTGCCTCAGACCACAGCTGCTTCAGACCAAAGCCGCTTTAGACCACAGCTGCTTCAGACCACAGCCGCTTTAGACCACAGTTGCTTCAGACCACAGCCGCTTCAGACCACAGCCGCTTTAGACCTCAGCCGCTTCAGACCACAGCTGCTTTAGACCTCAGCCGCTTCAGACCACAGCCGCTTCAGACCACAGCTGCCTCAGACCACAGCCGCTTTAGACCACAGTTGCTTCAGACCACAGCCGCTTCAGACCACAGCTGCTTCAGACCACAGCCGCTTCAGACCACAGCTGTTTCAGACCACAGCCGCTTCAGACCACAGCCGCTTTAGACCACAGCTGCTTCAGACCTCATCCGCTTTACACCACAGCTGCTTCAGACCACAGCTGCTTCAGACCACAGTAGCTTCAGACCACAGCCGCTTTAGACCACAGCCACTTCAGACCACAGCCGCTTCAGACCACAGCCGCTTTAGACCACAGTTGCTTCAGACCACAGCTGCTTCAGACCACAGCCGCTTTAGACCACAGCTGCTTCAGACCTCATCCGCTTTAGACCACAGCTGCTTCAGACCACAGCCGCTTCAGACCACAGCCGCTTCAGACCACAGCCGCTTCAGACCACAGCTGCTTCAGACCACAGTTGCTTCAGACCACAGCCGCTTCAGACCACAGCCGCTTTAGACCTCAGGCGCTTCAGACCACAGTTGCTTCAGACCACAGCTGCCTCAGACCACAGCCGCTTCAGACCACAGCCGTTTCAGACCACAGCTGCTTCAGACCACAGCCGCTTCAGACCACAGTTGCTTCAGACCACAGCTGCCTCAGACCACAGCCGCTTCAGACCACAGCCGCTTCAGACCACAGCTGCTTCAGACCACAGCCACTTCAGACCACAGCTGTTTCAGACCACAGCCGCTTCAGACCACAGCCGCTTTAGACCACAGCTGCTTCAGACCTCATCCGCTTTACACCACAGCTGCTTCAGACCACAGCCGCTTCAGACCACAGCCGCTTCAGACCACAGCTGCTTCAGACTACAGCTGCTTCAGACCACAGCTGCTTCAGACCACAGCCGCTTCAGACCACAGCCGCTTCAGACCACAGCCGCTTCAGACCACGGCCGACCACAGGCGCTTCAGACCACAGCTGCTTCAGACCTCATCCGCTTTACACCACAGCTGCTTCAGACCACAGCCGCTTCGGACCACAGCCGCTTCAGACCACAGCCGCTTCAGACCACAGCTGCTTCAGACCACAGCTGCTTCAGACCACAGCCGCTTCAGACCACAGCCGCTTCAGACCTCAGCCGCTTCAGACCACAGCTGCTTTAGACCACAGCCGCTTTAGACCACAGTTGCTTCAGACCACAGCCGCTTCAGACCACAGCTGCTTCAGACCACAGCCGTTTCAGACCACAGCCGCTTCAGACCACAGCTGCTTCAGACCACAGCTGCCTCAGACCACAGCCGCTTTAGACCACAGCTGCCTCAGACCACAGCCGCTTCAGACCACAGTTGCTTCAGACCACAGCTGCCTCAGACCACAGCCGCTTTAGACCACAGCCGCTTCAGACCACAGCCGCTTCAGACCTCATCCGCTTCAGACCACAGCCGCTTTAGACCACAGTTGCTTCAGACCACAGCTGCTTCAGACCACAGCCGCTTTAGACCACAGCCGCTTCAGACCACAGCCGCTTTAGACCACAGCCGCTTCAGACCTCATCCGCTTTACACCACAGCTGCTTCAGACCACAGCCGCTTCAGACCTCAGCCGCTTCAGACCACAGCTGCTTTAGACCTCAGCCGCTTCAGACCACAGCTGCTTTAGACCACAGCCACTTTAGACCACAGTTGCTTCAGACCACAGCCGCTTCAGACCACAGCCGCTTCAGACCACAGCCGCTTCAGACCACAGCCGCTTTAGACCACAGTTGCTTCAGACCACAGCTGCTTCAGACCACAGCCGCTTTAGACCACAGCTGCTTCAGACCACAGCCGCTTCAGACCACAGCTGCTTCAGACCACAGCCGCTTTAGACTACAGCTGCCTCAGACCACAGCCACTTTAGACCACAGCCGCTTCAGACCACAGCTGCTTCAGATCACAGCTGCTTCAGACCACAGCCGCTTCAGACCACAGCCGCTTCAGACCACAGCCGCTTCAGACCACAGCCGCTTTAGACCACAGTTGCTTCAGACCACAGCTGCTTCAGACCACAGCCGCTTCAGACCACAGCCGCTTCAGACCACAGCTGCTTCAGACCACAGCCGCTTTAGACCACAGCTGCCTCAGACCACAGCCGCTTCAGACCACAGTTGCTTCAGACCACAGCTGCCTCAGACCACAGCCGCTTTAGACCACAGCCGCTTCAGACCACAGCCGCTTCAGACCTCATCCGCTTCAGACCACAGCTGCCTCAGACCACAGCCGCTTTAGACCACAGCCGCTTCAGACCACAGCCGCTTCAGACCTCATCCGCTTTACACCACAGCTGCTTCAGACCACAGCCGCTTCAGACCACAGCCGCTTCAGACCACAGCCGCTTCAGACCACAGCTGCTTCAGACCACAGCTGCTTCAGACCACAGCCGCTTCAGACCACAGCCGCTTCAGACCACAGCCGCTTCAGACCACAGCCGCTTCAGACCACAGCCGCTTCAGACCACAGCCGACCACAGGCGCTTTAGACCACAGCTGCTTCAGACCACAGCTGCTTCAGACCACAGCCGCTTCAGACCACAGCCGCTTCAGACCCCTTTTCAGGGTTTGTTATTTTTCACTGTTTGTTTTAGCACAATCTCAGCGTCTCTCTCTCTCCCCCTCTCTCTATCTCTCTCTCTCTCTCTCTGTGTGTCTCTCTCTCTCTCTCTCTCTCTATCTCTGTCTCTCTCCCCCTCTCTCTCTCTCTGTGTGTGTGTCTCTCTCTCTCTCTCCCTCTATCTCTGTCTCTCTCCCTCCCTCTCTCTCTCCCTCTGTCTCTCTCCCCCCCTCTCTCTCTCGCTGTGTGTGTCTCTCTCTCTGTCTTTCTCTCTCCCTCCCTCTCTCTCTCCCCCTCCCCCTCTCTCTCTCCCCCCCTCTCTCTCTCTCTGTCTTTCTCTCTCCCTCCCTCTCTCTCTCCCCCTCTCTCCCCCTCTCTCCCTCCCTCTCTCTCTCCCCCTCTCTCCCTCCCTCTCTCTCCGTCTCTCTCTTTCACACATGTCCACAGGTTTAAATACACAGGTGTAAACACAGCCGAGGGTTAATAATAAAATATTCCACAGACGCTTTATCTTCAGTGACGTCCTTTGAACAAAAACACAAGTGTCTTCTTCGTCTGAAACCATTGATCTGTGAATCCTGGACTTTTACCTTTTGAGGTTTTCTCTCAAAATTCTCCTCTTTGATCTCATCTTTGAACAGTTTTATGAAAGAATCTCATTGTTCCGGGTTTGTTTGACTTTTTGTGCTCAGCAGCCGTCGTCTCGGAGGACTTCACTAAGTTGTCGGTTCCTCAACAGCAGATCAGAGAATCAAACAGTTCAAACACAAGAAATGCATAAAAACAAACACATATTGGTCCAAAACACTCAGAATCAGAAAGTCCCTGTAGTCCGGGCCTCGGGGGGAGACCAGTCCACAGGTACAGAGACAAGCATCTGGATTCAGGGGTCCAAAATGAAATGAAAATTAAATAATATGATACTAATAAAATAGACAAAAAAATCATTTCAAGGGGGCTGGTGCTCTGTGAATTGGGTGGCTGCTAATTGCCACCCCCAACTCCCCGGAAATGGACAAAACGGAAGAAAATGGATGGATGGAAATAAAATAATAGTATTAATCCTTGTGTTTCATGAAGCTGGCCAGTAGGGGGCGCATGAGCAGAGGTGGGACAGTTTTGCTCCCATTGAAAACCATGTAAAGTCTGTTTTGGAGTCAAAGGCTCTCCTCCTGTGCGGTGTACGGTTGTTGGAACAGTCTTAATCGGGGACACTCAATTCTAATGAAGTACTAACAAATATTTCTCAAAAGAGTCTTGATTTTGGGCATTTTTGGAAAGAAAAAACAGAAGAAATGGCTGCGTTTCATTGGGGTGGCCTGCAGGGGGCGCTTATCTGGGAAAGCCTCGCCCGCCTCATTCCAGTGATAGTTTCAAAGTGTCCTCCTTTATATGAGACACAGTTGGAACATGAACAAACTCTGGTCTTTCTCTATTTGTGCGGTTTCTACAAGCGTACACAAAGATGCTTCTTCTTCTACTATATCTCTGTGTATAAACCACTTCTTCTTCTACTATATCTCCGTGTATAAACCACTTCTTCTTCTACTATATCTCCGTGTATAAACCACTTCTTCTTCTACTATATCTCCGTGTATAAACCACTTCTTCTTCTACTATATCTCCGTGTATAAACCACTTCTTCTACTATATCTCCGTGTATAAACCACTTCTTCTTCTACTATATCTCCGTGTATAAACCGCTTCTTCTTCTACTATATCTCCGTGTATAAACCACTTCTTCTTCTACTATATCTCCGTGTATAAACCACTTCTTCTTCTACTATATCTCCGTGTATAAACCACTTCTTCTTCTACTATATCTCCGTGTATAAACCACTTCTTCTTCTACTATATCTCCGTGTATAAACCACTTCTTCTTCTACTATATCTCCGTGTATAAACCACTTCTTCTTCTACTATATCTCCGTGTATAAACCACTTCTTCTTCTACTATATCTCCGTGTATAAACCGCTTCTTCTTCTACTATATCTCCGTGTATAAACCACTTCTTCTTCTACTATATCTCCGTGTATAAACCACTTCTTCTTCTACTATATCTCCGTGTATAAACCACTTCTTCTTCTTCTACTATATCTCCGTGTATAAACCACTTCTTCTTCTACTATATCTCCGTGTATAAACCGCTTCTTCTTCTACTATATCTCCGTGTATAAACCACTTCTTCTTCTACTATATCTCCGTGTATAAACCGCTTCTTCTTCTACTATATCTCCGTGTATAAACCACTTCTTCTTCTACTATATCTCCGTCTATAAACCACTTCTTCTTCTACTATATCTCCGTGTATAAACCGCTTCTTCTTCTACTATATCTCCGTGTATAAACCACTTCTTCTTCTACTATATCTCCGTGTATAAACCGCTTCTTCTTCTACTATATCTCCGTGTATAAACCACTTCTTCTTCTACTATATCTCCGTCTATAAACCACTTCTTCTTCTACTATATCTCCGTGTATAAACCGCTTCTTCTTCTACTATATCTCCGTGTATAAACCACTTCTTCTTCTACTATATCTCCGTGTATAAACCACTTCTTCTTCTACTATATCTCCGTGTATAAACCACTTCTTCTTCTACTATATCTCCGTGTATAAACCCGGCAGACTGCACCGCCAGGATACGTCACGTCCTGTCCTACGTTTGTTATTCACTGCCCTGACGTCAGATGAAACCCAAGAATAATGAACAAAGAACAGCCAATCTCTCTCAGAAGGGTTGCCACGTTTTCTTAAATCATAAATGTCGCCAGTCATTTTTAACAGTATATCTCTGTCTGTAATACTTTTCTCTCTACATTCTGACCTTCATAATATCTTTTTCGCAGCAGGTCTAAGTGGAGCACACACTGGGGCCTTCTCTTAATCCATGTCTGAGGTGAAGTCTGGGGCAGCTCCACGATTACACGGACTCCGGGGCCAGAGAAGACTGTTGTGTCTCTGGATTGTCTTATTGTGATTTGTGAATCCTTGGAGAGGTGCAGCAGGGACCAGCATTCATCCCCATTATCCCTGTGATCACACACACACACACACACATACACGTTTTTGTTACCTGGTGGGTCCCTTTGACAGGGCCGTTCAGAATGGGACCCTTAGACATAATCTTTTTTTACTGGGACTACTTTAAGTAATACAAAACAGTCAATAGAAACCAAACAACTATTTTAAAGGAATTTTATTTTAGATTTTGTTTTCGAATTGCAGTGATTCTATTTTTGACATAGAATTTAATGCCACTCCATGTCCGATGTCTAAGGTCATCTGGTGAGGCATTAATGCAGGCCAGGCAGTGAGACTTCCCAGGGACCTTTCCAGTCTGTATGAAAGGTGTCATGGTCTTCTCCACAGCCTTCACCTCAGATGCAGACCATGGCTTTCTTACACGTTCTAGGGAGAGAAATAAAAATATATTAGCAATATACACTCCCAGGGTTAGGACCAAGCAGCCTGGCTGTAATCCCCCACCTGGTACACTTACCAGAAGGGGCACTGCCACTACCATGGGGTGCATCTGGATGAATGGTTGAAGGTTCTCCGCTTGAAGTTTCTT